GACCAGACCTCTTCACTCGTGTTTTCAAAGGATATTTACAACAACTCATTCACGACATTCACAATACACAAATATTCGGCCCAACTGCGGCATATATATATGTCATAATATTTCTAAAACGAGGTCTCCGACATGCACACTTAGTTGTCACATTTGGTAATGAACACAAAATTTCGACACCTGAACAAATTGATTCCGTAGTTTGTGTTGAAATCCCTACAAACCCGATCCTTCGCGAACTCGTGCTAACGCACATGATACCTAATCTGTGTCGCCCCTTCAATATGCAAGCTCCCTGCATGCACAATGATCGCTGTGCGCATCACTTCCCGAAAAAATTATCTGACCATACAACATGGAACGAAGAAATGGGTTATCCCATATATCGTTGCCGAGGCCGAGACAACGGAGGGATGGTTGTCCTACGTGAAAACGATGAAATTGATAACTCTTGGGTTGTTCCCTACAAACCCTTCCTCCTTTTGCGTTATCGTTGTCGTCTGAATGTTGAAATTTATGCCTCCACCGCCGCTTACCGATATATGTTCGAATAAATTACGAAAGGCACGGATCGAGCCATGGTCGGCGAAATGACAAACGCTAATGATGAAATCCAAACATTCCAAGACATGCGAACAATCGGTGCATCCGAAGCATGTTAGAGAATCCTTGATTTTTCTCTTTCCGAACGATACCCTGTTGTTGCCGCACTGCCTGTCCATGTTGAAAATAAACAACGAGTTTATTTTCGACCGAGAGATGCTCAACGTCCAAGAAATACGCCTCCACCAGAAACCGAGCTTGCCGCATGGTTTAAATGGAACGTTGCCTATATCAATATTACCCCGGAAAGAAAACCTTTATACAAAGATATGATTCACCAATTCCGATACGACAAAACAAAAAAAACATGGGTCTTACGACAACGAAAAACAAGCACGATTGGGCAAATACACAGAATTCACCCGAACACGGTTGATACGTTTTAACTCCGAATGCTTATTTTGTCACCCCACTCCCGAGGAACCACGTCGTTAGAGAGCTTACGTACTGTCGACAACGAAATTCACATGATATATCACTTCGCATGTCGTGCATTAGACCTGCTCAACGATAATACTTAATTTGATGTTGTCTTACAAGATGCAACCTTTACTGCATCCTTTGCGACGTTTCAAGATTTATTAGTCCACATACTTTTGCACTCTGTACCTGCTGATCCTACTGAACTTTTGAAACACACTGACAACAAATGATTGACGACTTCCAAAAAGACCTTCGTGATGCGGATGTTTCTCCCCCTCTCATTAGAACCATGGTCCTTCTAGGTATCGATAACTGTCTATAAAAGGAAGGAAAACAACTCGAAGACGTTGGCCTAATCCGCCCGCACATCAACGATCAAAATGCCGCAAACGCTTTAGCTGAAAGACCCCGTTGTCGTAACATTTCGCAAATGATTGAAGATGAAACTTCATATGACAAAGAAACAATACAAAGAAGATTAGATACAAACTTGCCGCTCCTCCACCCGTTCACTCGAGTCACAATTGTCGCTGACAATAACGAACCGCTTTGTCTTTTCGTCGATGCCTCTACCGGAACAGGGAAAATATTTTGTTTCAATACCATTTGGTGGCGTGTATAAGGCACGACATTGCCAGCCCTCTTTGACATCATGACAAACAAGTGCACGTATCCCGCCCGACACTCCGCCACCCTTCTTGCCAGCCAGTTAGCGACCCCACAATACCCCACCGAGAGACACGATGAAAGGTGTGTGTGTATATGTGTGTGTGAGATAGAGAGAGAGAAAAATGACGCATTATTTTCTTTTTTTTTTTCTTGTCAGTGTTTGTCCTCTTTTGTGGTAGTCTCGATGTATGTGCCCGCAATGTCTTCTACATG